AAGGATTAATGACTTTGCAATATGCAGCCTTTTTCTGTCCTCATTCCTCCTGTCAGCCAGTCCCCCTTTCTTAGCCAGGACTTCTGCTATGCTCAGGGTACACAGACCCGCTACCTACCATACTGCACACACCTTTTCCTTTAGCTAACCTAAAGCCAGGCTAGGATTTTCCAAAGGAACTCTTATTAGGAAACCCCGGGAGCACAAAGAAGAGAAATAGATGAGAGCAATAATGCTTCACATTTGTAAAGCACTTTGCAGTTTGCAAAGCACTTGCACATTCATTACCTCATTTACCCAGCATGAATTCCTTCCCCTGACTTAAGTAAAGCCTAGCCAGAGATCCGCACAGGCATTTCCTCCATCCCTTCTTGGCCACCATTCTCAAAATCCAACCCTAGTATCTGGCAACACCAGTAGCCTGCGTGGTTCCTTATGGTCCCCCAAAGGGTGATTCCTGGTCCTGGGTCTATACCTGACTTTCTTCTGGAAAGCCCCAGAAGCATTTGTACTAACAAGTCATTAATGGTGGCTCTACCCACTAAGAGAAATGAAGTTTCTTGCTTCTAGGACAGTAACTGGGATTCCTCTCTCCCATCTTGGTCAGCGACAGCAGTAATAACTAACATTCATTGAGCACTTACTGGGTACCAGGCACTGCATTTGTGTGTATGAACTTGCTTTTCCTCACCTAAACCAATGAGTAGACAGTATTATCCCCATTTTACAGATCAGCAAGGCTTCATAAATACAGGTCTTGTTTTCTGCTGTGGAAGTTATCAGTGGATTGGGCGCAACTCAGGACAACGAGACTGAAGTCATTTGCTTCATTTAGTCCTGATTTTATGAATGCATACATTCAAGATGCATTTGCCAAGCTCCTACACAGCTGGCTGGCCACAAGGACACAGCGGTGAACCAGGTGTGGATCTGCCCTGAGGACCCCGCTGGCTGGCTGGCCCCTATCAGCCTTCCTGGCTGCAGCATCACCACAGAGGTTCAAACCTAGTCTAGGGGCCAGAGAAAACCGCCAGGAGGCTGTGACATCCGTGAGGAGGAGGAGAATGTACCCCAAAGGGACAGAGCAGCAGAAATAAAGGTTTGGTGGCCAGAGAGAGCATGACATTCAGGAAATCCAGCACTGGTGGTCAAGTAGGGTGGGCAGGTTATAGACTGAGTAAGGGGTTGGGGCTTTCTCCTGAAATCGCTAGAGCACTGTTGATGGGTTTTAAGCAGAGAAGTGATATGACAAGAACTTTCCCCCTGAAGTTATTATTATTCTTTTTAAATGAACTCCCTGCTTATTATCTTTCTGTCCTGCAGTTGTCTCTTTCCAGTAAAAGTGAGTTCAGACAGAGGCTGGGGGGCTCATTAAATAAGGATCTCTGGTCACTGGTTGCTCACTACTAGAAGTCTTGCCACCCTCCATGCTCCCCATCCTCCTCTACCCTGGGCTCTCTGCCCCCTACAATCAGACACTTTGGGAACCTGAAGCTATTTTGGTCCAAGAGCTAACAGCAAATTCCAGGCTTATGTCTCTGAATGCTGGTAGTTTCCACCTCTTCTGGATTTACCTTCATCTTTGGTGTCCATCCATGGCAGTCGCCTTCTGTCCACATACATTATCACAGTTCTTCATCTCCCCACAGCTGACTAACACCCCTTTGTCAGGTTCAAGAGCTTGTCCAGACTGCTGGCCAGCTGGCTGGCTCTGAGCTCCTCTCACTGTGACGGGAAACTCCTGGAGGCCAGGCAAGGGCCAGGTTTGGAGGAAAGCAGACGCAGGCACCTTCTGCCTATGGGGAGTACTCTTAATTTGGCTTAAAGTGCGATTTCAGCAGGCAGGGACACAAAGAAGTGAGAGAAGAAGGGGCCATGGCTTGCCAATTAGGCCCACCAACCTAGTTCTGGTGACTGACCAGGCAAAGGCAGGATAGCCAGCTCCTCCTCACAGCTGGGGCTGTGTTTTATGCCAGTCTTAAATGTCCACAGCTCCCAGCTCCTAGCACATACATGAGCTTGTCTTTGGCTGTCTCTTTCGAACCAAAGTCATGTTTTGTTTCCACAGTTGAGAGAGGCCTCAGAAACTGAGTTCCAGTCAATCTGTGCCATGATGTGGGCATGAGACACCAAGACAATGGACACTGTGCCTTCTTTGGGGCCAACATCCTTCACCCCGGACCACGGCAGGCCAGACGACTCAGAATCTATTGAGATTCATACACAACGGTATGGAATAGGTATGCTTTTATGAGACCCCCCAAAAGGGGTCCATAGTCCTCACAAAAGGTTAATAAGCCCTGATTTGGAGGGTGCTTGCTGACCTGCACACACTGACCCTATTATAACCTTCTGAGCCCAGGGCCAGCCCTCCCCACTGCAGGTCTGCCCAAACACACCCAGTTGACCCAACTAATGCAAACATGGCAATAATTTATTTCAGTTCAAAGAAATGCAAATTGGGTTAATATCCCTTTCTCTGAACCATCACATATTCAATATAAACTAATTCGTTTCCACAGCAGTGAATTTTTCTAGAAACAAATGATACTCTGTTCTGCACAATTCAAACTAGCACATTTTTTAATGCAACAAACATTTATAAACCACTCATCCCTCCCTCCTTTCCTCCTTCCTAAAAATACCCATTGCAGCACCATCTTCGAGCCTACAGCCTGTCATCCCGAACTGCTGCATTGTATTTTTATAATGGGACTGTTTCAATCCTAGTCATCAAATTACCGTTTATTATTATCCCCATTTTACAGATAAAGGAACTAGGTCACAGGGAGGTCACCTGACCGGCCCCAAGCCCACAGCAGGGCTATAATGGAGAAGACGTGCTTCCTGGGGAATGCAGCCTTGGAAGAGCAGAGGCGGGCAGGCTGGCTTGCTTATGCTTCTAGAGAAAGCAAGCACTAGTGGGAGATGAGCCCACTGTCTCTCAGCACAGGCCAGGGCCAACATGGGGAAGGCATAGCCAGCCGCGTGGCGAGAGGTGTCCAGAGCAGAGACATCTGTGTGACTCCCTGAAAGCACAGCTGTCCAGAGAGAGGCTTCTCGGAGAAGCAGCAGCCTAGGGCCAGCCTGCAGACCTAGAGCCACGGGGAAGGGGCATTGGACTTAGAAACCTGAGCCCTGACTCTGCCGGAGGTGCCTCCTCCCAATGAACCACCGTTTCGCAGCAGGAATGATGCCTGGATTCCATGATCTCCGGCAGCTTTTCAGGAGTCTGACCGGGGGCACTCTGTGGAGGACTCCTGAAATTGTCACCTGAGGGGCCCCCCCACAACCCACATGGTGCTCACTGCTCCCGAGCAAGGGCCCCCACACCGGGCTTCCCCTGTCACAAAGCACGCCAGGCCTCTGACTGTCTCTGGTGAGGCCCTCAGCTGATCATCACAGCAGACAGCCTGGGGGGTGACGTCACCCTTTATATATACAAAATGTCATGCACGTGCACACACACATACACACACACACGATTTCTTTTCTCGACACATCATTCTTGATTTAAAGACCTAAAGCCTGAAGCTGAGATTATTTCTGGCCCCCTCCAGGACCATGAAGGGGGTATCTTGGGACCTCACTCTGGTGCCCATCGAAGGGCCACATGCCGGTACCATGCACCAAAGAGCTGTCTGTGGGCCACGAAGCTGCAGGCTCCCAGGCCTAAAGCAACTGCTCCATTCGCCTCTGTCCTCAGACCCGCAGCATGCACGCCTCTGCCCCCGCAGATGCCCCAGCCCTGGGTCCTCCGCCACGCTGGGCCGCTATGGGCGTGCGGGTCAGAGGCCATGTCAGAACCACAGCATCAGCGCGCTCCCACAGCAGGGCTCATTATTAATAAACACGCTGCTTCGAGCATTTGCTCACGATTGTTTGATATTTCAGTTTTCAGTAATTTTCTCAGTTAATAATTTATTAAATGGATTATTTGTCATTTCAATTTATTAAAAATTGATAAAGGGCTCATTTCTTTTTTCCCAAGCTAGGACACAGGGAAAGATATACAGGCCAGAGTACAAATTAAAGGCGCCCCGATTCCTTAGCTCCCCTGATCCCTACCCAATCACCTGCGGCCGATGAACACCCTCACGTCCCCTCCCTGGTGTCTCAGCACCCAGAGTCTACACCCCGATCAAGCAATGAGGCTGGAAAGGAACGCTCCCACCCGCTCCTGAGCCAAGCCCACCACCTATCCCCTGGCTTCTTATCTCAGCTTCCCCCGCAACCACACTAGAAGCTCAAGGCCTTTGGCTGCCCTGCTCAGCAGGGAGAATGCCTCATCAGTTCCTTCAGCATGCCGCATTCGGCGCAGGGCCCTCTCTGAGGTGGGGCTGCGTTTCCAAGACGGAACCTGGAATGGTGGTGGGACCTGGGACTGGAATAGCAGGGAGGTATTGGGGGGGTGGACAGAGTAGAACGTGCAGGGAGCTCTCAAAATGGCCACCTGTGTTCCTGCAAGCCATGTCCATCCCGGCAGGCAGCTCTCCTGTCCTCAGTGCTATTAATTACCTCATGGTTTCTGTATTCTGGTCATGGCTCTGCCTATGTTTACAGAACAAGCATATGAAGGCCCTTGAGGAGAAAAACATCAGCAGGACAGTCTCCTGACTCTTCTCCTCTTCCTTCTCCTCCGTGTCCTCCAGGCTACCCTCCACCACATGCTTCTTTTATTCCACCTCTTTCCACTCTCTTGCCATCTCCACAACAACTTCCTGCTTTTCTCCCGTCTCCTTCTTTCCTTATCCCTCTTTCGCTGAGCTCTCTCTCCCTATTCTATGTCCTTACGTCTTTCTGGCCCTTCCTCCCCAAGGTCTCCTCAGCAGACTGGCCAGATGCCCACATTTCCCTCTCTGCGGGTGTGGCCCCAAGAGGGGCCTCCTCAGAGCCCCTGCGGACCTTCATCACCAGTACCCTGAGGTCACAATGGCTCTTAGGCTGTTTCTGGGCTAAGAGCTAAAGCGTCGTGCACCCAGGCCCCAACCTCAGGTCACAAAGTATCCACCCAACCACGGCAAGAAAAAAGGACAGTGCTCTCTGGGTCCAAGATGGCGCAGATGAAGGCCTGCCCAGCCATCAGCAAACTCCAGGCAGAGAGAGAAAGGAAGAAATCACAGGTGGGCAGGAGGGCGAGCAGAGGAACAGCAGCCATCTCAAAGTCACTTTAGCCAAGAGAGTTTGGTCATCATTTTGCAATTTCTGCCTGCCTTCACGGGCTCCTTGAGATCCCATGTATCACTGTTTTCCAGAGCGCTTTTTTCCGAGATGAGTTTAATGGCCTTATAAAAGTCACATTGTGCACAAATTGGGAAGTCTCCGCAGCTCCGCGCCGGCTCTCATGCATAGACACTCGCACACTTCCCACAGCTGAGCAAGGAAGGCAATTCAAGGCACAAAAACATCCTTGGGTAAATTACTTCCTATTAGTATGTCACATATTTCTTAGATACGACTGTAGTTCCAGGAGGTGACAGCAGCAGTTGACAATAAAACTTTGCACTCTTTCTTATTTATATTTTCCCTGCCTTTCTATTTTGTTTGTTTTTTCTTTCCCCTCGAAGTTACATAACATCACATCCAACTCATCATCTCCTTACTCCTGGGGAAACAATGCCCCTAAGGCTCTTCCTGACTCGCTCACTGTGGGGCTGTCCAAGTAGACATCCGACCACGAAGGACGCTCTGAAGGCCACTGTAGCATCTGGAGACAGGAGGCGCGGGGCTGGGGCTCCCTCAGTCCCCACTAATTCTCCCCAAGTCCACTGCTAGGCACAGCTTCCTGCTTCTCTTCAAATCCACAATTTCCCACTGAACAACTACCTACCTACCCCATGCCTAGGCCTGAGCCGGCTGAGCTGGTCGAGACAAGAGAAAACAGGAGTTTACTATCCGCTTCCTGAGGAAGACCCATCCAGTGAGACAGCCTAATCACAAGAGAAGAAAATACACGGGAAGTGACAAGGTGAGCACTTTAACCAGATCACAAGAGCTGGGTTGGAGGGACGGAGGCCTGGGTGAAGGAGGCTGAGACCTAAAGCAGGGAGGGCAGAGCCATTGGACGGGGCGGGGGCTTACACTGTTCTTTGCAAACACAGTGTCACCTCCGCACTTAAGCACAGCCAGATGGAGAACGAGAATGGAGGCCCGGGCAGAGAACTAATGCCCCTGGACAAGAATTTTCTCTCCATTGTCCCAAGACCTTAAAAACCCCTCAAGCACAGGGAGGATCCAGTTTGCCAGCCCTTCGGCTGGGGTCAGCTGCATGAGGCTCTCCCGGGAATGGCCTCTGGGGAATGTCTCTGTCCTCCCGGGGTGCTCTGAAACTTTCCTGGCCTTTCCACCTCACAGTCTATTCCCTTCTCCCACAGCCTGGAGAATTCAGAATCCCAAGCCCTCCTTGGCAGCATGAACCCTGAACCTTGAAATTCCCCCACGGCCTTGCGTTCTCTAGCCCTGTGATCCCCTTCTGGTTCCCACCCGCAGAAGCCTAATTCTGGTGGTCCTTGTCCCAAGCTCAGAACCAGCCATGGTGTTAATGGCAGCTCCTTCCCAAAAGCACCCAGCTCAGGCTCCTTCTCAGGATCTCAAGTCTAACAAACCTCCCAGCTCAAGCTTATGGCTAAAGAAGAGGTCTTGTTGCTCTGCCTACAATATATCAACCTTGTCTCCATAAAAAGAAGAGAATACTGACTCTCAAAGAGACCCCAGAACCACAAAATGTAGACAGATCCCACACCTACTAATGAGGATCACAGTTAGAGGGCCACCCTAGGGGGGATAGAACTGGATAGGCTTTTCAAAAGGGGCAGCTCTGAAATCTATAGAAAATAAGGTAGTTTCTTTTGTAATTGAACAAAGGAAGAGAGGAACAGATTAAGGAGCAAGGATTAGGGGAGGAGGGATATTATCAGATACCATTTTGTATAAATACCATAATGTGGTGAACTTAATTATTTTTTACTTTCAGCCAAAAGTTTTGGTATTGCATTCAGAACCATTGAAACAATGGGAAAAGTCTATCACTAAAAAAAATATTAAAAATTTTTAAAAAATTACAACACTGTCAGATTAATTCCCTGATGGTAACCTGTCTGATGCTATATTTTTGGTCAGTGTAGATACATCCTGAATATTTTAAGACTTTCTGGACTTCAGTTCTCTACCACTTATAATTCAAAATTGCATCTCCCCCCACCTTCTCTCAGGACTCTTAATTTCTCTTCTCTTTCCGCCATTATTTATTTAAGCCTCCTAACTGTATTATTTATTTTAACACCATATCTGTATTATTTATTTTACTGTAGCTCCATAACGATATTATTTAAGTCTATAAAATAAAGCTTTTTCCCTTGAACTCTCCGTGCAAAATAAAATTGTGTTATACTGAAACATTCTTTGAAATGCCCTTCTTTTCTACCACGGGATAATAATAATAATACTTTGCATTTATATAGTACCTTTCATCCTGGGATTATTTAAGTCTGCAAAAGCAGTCTGTCTGAATTCTCCATGCAAAAATCAAGTTGTATGATAATATTCTTTGAAATGCCCTTTATTTTTCACCACTCGCTAGTACAGAAATGGTCTGTCTTTGTGCACTAGCTTTCCACCTAGGAATTCCTAAGTGACTCTCTCATTAATACTTGCCTACTTCGAAATGGCCAGGTAAATACTGTCCCCACTGCCTCAGTGGTAAAAGGGAAGCAGTAAGAAGACCTCCCTGGACAGAATATATGTGTAAATCAGAGGACACCCAGCCAACATACAGGTCCTCCCAGCTATTAGAACTGCTCCTTGCAAACTTCCTCCTCCCGCCCATCATCCAGATTCATCAAGGAACTGTGGACTGAGCCAGACCACCTGGGTTTAAATCCACTCATTCCCAAGCAGCACATCCTGGGCAGCTCTTTCCCCTCCTGAACCTTCAGCTGCTCATCGGTACTCAGCATCCTCTCCACGCCCTGTGCTTGGCTCAGGCCTCTCTCACATCTGGACGTGTCCTTCCTCCTCCTAGCCATTTGTCTGTCCTTCAGCACCCAACTCCAAACCCACCTCCAGGAAGAGCAAACGGTGGCCCCATATCTTCTCCAAGAACAGCAGCTGTGACCCATCATTTTCTTTTTGGATGGCCCTTGGCACCTATATGTCTGGAGCTGGATTACACATCATCTCGCACAGATTCTAACTGTCGCTTGTGTCTGACCTTGTTATGGATTCATTCAACAAATAGTTATTGAGTATCTAGAATGTACTAGGCACTCTCTTTGGCTCCAGGGATACCAGTTGAGAATGAAACAAAACCCCCAGTCATTTCAAACCTTAAAACCTTGTGGGAAAATAAGTCCCCCATATAGGCCTGTAAAGCTAAACCACTCCCCCTTCTCTCCCTGCTCTCAAAGTGCTGAACCAAGCACGGCTACACAGCAGGGGGACAGAAGCTACTTCTCACCTGACTTTAAAATATTAATGATAGGGAGAAAGAAGTCTTTGAAATTATAATTTTAACAGTTTTATCTAGTTTCAAAAAAACATTTTTTTTAAAAATTGCTTCTGGCCCCAAACTGGTTATTAAGTCCCTAAGTATCCATCTAATGTTTTATATGGTCAATGGAACCTTCTCAATGATTCTCGCTGTGGAGGGGGTCCAGCCTCCAGCCTCCAAACCTCCAGTTACTCATCCCTCAGGTGTGGCTGACATCTTCTGGTTACTAGGAGGAAGCAATGAGACAGCCATTCCAAGGGTCAGCTCCATGCCTCACACACACCAGCAGCCTAATAGAACACCGTACTACACCCTTTCCTCTTTTTAAGATTCTATTTGTTTGTTTGTTTGTTTGTTTGAGAGAGAGCCTGTGTGCAGGCTGAGGAGCAGAGGAAGAAAGAATCTCAAGCAGACTCTGAGAGCTGAGCACGGAGCCCAAAACAGGGCTCAATCCCACAGCCCTGAGATCATAATCTGAGCGAAAACCAAGAGGTGGACACTTAACCGAATGTGCCACCAGGCGCTCCCATCCTCTCCCCTTCTTGAAGTTCTGGTCATAATTCCATGCTGATGACTCTGGTCCATGTGATGACTGAGAGACTGAAAGTCTGGGCCCGTGAAGACAGGTGTCTATTCTCCCCAATAGGTCCCCTCCTACAGAAAGCCCTGGAGTGCACACAGGACTCCTGTCTCCTGTGGTGTGCGCCCAACCCCATGAACTCTGCAGCTTTCACTGGAGGCACTGACACCACAACACTGGGTTTCAGTCTTGCCCTTGACACTGTCAAACTACTTCTACCTTTGCTAGTTCTTTTCATCTCCTCTCCTTACTATGCATTGCATGCTTTGTATACTGTATACTATATATATTTTTGGCACTTTGCATCCTTCCTGGGGATATTTTACCCTAATCAATTTGGAGGTGAATATTGCTTCTCATTTCATTCCACTTCCATTTTGGTGGAGTTCCCTCAGGAAGAGGAATGCAGTAGATGCACAATAAACATTCTTTTCATGGAATTTGTTTTGGTTGTGTAGATGCAATGAAGCAGTTATAATTACCTCCATTTTAATAGAAAGGGAGATCTGCCCTTAACAAATTCCCTTGATTTCTAGCCCATGCTACCTCCTTTCCCTCAGGGAATGGAACATTTCCTCTCCAAAGTTGTGCCTCATGTGTCCTTCCTGAGTACCTTTTCTGTGCCATAATTATGCTGAGCACTAAAGATACATTAAGGAGCAAACCACAGTCCCTGTATGCAAACACCACAGTCTACTTGGGGAGACATACAAAAACAGACAATCAAAACGATATATGGACATAAAATGGGATAAAGTGCAAGGTCTCATGGGGCTATATACCATGGTCTCCTAACCCAGCTACATCATGTCAAAAAACGTTCCTAACACATGGAATAAGCCAGAGATAGGGTTGAGGAAATGGTAGGCATTTAGGCAGAAGGAACAGTGCAAAGGTCCTGAGGCAAGCAGAACATGTTCAAAGACCTAGAATAGTCCAGGGTCTCTAGAACCAGGGCCAGATCTGAAGTCCTTCTAAGTACCCTTAAGGAAGTGGGACATTAACCTGATGTTACCAGAAAGATATCAGAGTCACTGGAATTGATTGAACAGAGAAGTAGAATGACTAGATATACAAAGAAGGATCCAATAAGGGCAGAAGTAGATATCAGGAAGAAAGTCAAGGGGGTGAGAGATAAGAAAATCACTTGAAGAATTTTAGAGGATTCATATAGAAAATACATGTTACAATGTTTCTAAGAATAACCATTTAAGTAGAAACCCTAAATATCACACACACACACACACACAGTAAACTACTAAACAAATTTGGTAAAATTATAGGATATAAAACTGACACACAAAAATCCACTGCATTCCTATACACTAACAATGAACAATTCAAAAAAGAAAGTAAGAAAACAATTCCACTTATAAAAACATCAGAAAGTATAAAATATTTAGGAATAAACTAAACCAGGGAGGCAAAAGACTTATACATTGAAAACTACAACGATTTATTAAAAAAATTAGAGTGGGCACAAATAAATGGAAAGACATCCTGGACTGAATGTATTCATGGATGGGAAGACAATGTTGTTAAGATGTCCATACTATCCAAAGGAATCTACAGATTTAACATCATCCCTATCAAAATCACAATGATGTTTTTTGCAGAAATAGTCAAATCCATCCTAAAATTCTCTCACAATCTCAAGGGACCCCAAACAGCCAATACAATCTTTAAAAAAGAACAAAATTTAAGGTCTCACACTTCCCTGTTTGAAACTTACTACAAAGCTACAGTAATCAAAACAGTGCAGTATTGGCATAAAGACATATAGGCCAATGGCTATTTTGTATATTCTATACAGAAGTCATAAATAAACCCTCACATATATGGTCAAATGATTTTGACAAGAATGTCAAGAACATGGAATGGGGAGAGAAGAGTCTTCAAAAAGCAGTGCTCAGAAAGCTGGATATCCATGTGCAAAAGAAGGAATTTGGACCCTTATCTTACACCACACACAAAACTTAATTCAAAATGGATCAAAGACCTAAACATAAGAGCTAAAACTAAAACTATTAGAAGAAAACCTAAGGAAAAAACTACATGACATTGGATTTGGCAATGATTTCTTGGATATGACATGAAAAGTAGGAGCAACAAAAGCAGAAATAAAATGGACTTTATCAAAATGCATCAAAGGACACGATCAAAGTATAAAGGCAACTCACAGAACAGAAAAAATATTTGCAAATCATGTATCTGATAAGGAGCTAATATCTATAATATATAAAGAACCCATACAACTCAAAAAAAATTAAAAATGAAAGGGTTTGAACAGACATTTCTCCAAGGAAGATTTATACAAATGACTAATCTGCACATGAAAATCTGC